AAATAAACAGTAATTTCAGCACAGGCTCCAGTCTTATAGGCTTGCTCACGGAATTACGGGGGATTTGCTGACCGGCTCCACTCTTACAGCAGCTCAAATTCACCAAATTAAACAGTAATTTCATTCCTTCAGCACGGGCGCTGGTGGCAAATAAGTGGACCCGTATGGCCAAATTACGGCAGCTCAAATTCACCAAAATAAACAGTAATTTCATTCGCTCAGGGGCTCCAGTCTTCTTAAGTAAGTTTATATTAGGGGACGGTATGATTTTTAATAATTTTACAATAGCCGTCGAAAAAAGTTACAGTTCCAATTATTTTCATGCTGAAAGTTCCAGTTCTCGTTTAAAACACCGGTGTGACGACTATGCTGTCACACAATTGGATCGCCGAACGCGTGCATAGCCAAAAAAGTGATCGCGTATCGCCAATCTCCAAGGACGGTATTGTTAGTCCCATAGTCAATATCGCCTGCACGACAAAAAATTCTAGCCGGTAAAAATCACCTCTCGTACTCCCTGCCACAACCTAAAATCTCAAAACTTTCATCGCAGTACCGATAATGCAGTCGTAACAACAACAATCTAGTCTAGCACTCACCCCGATCGAATAATTGGGCAGATACAGCTCTAGTAGGAAGGAAGTCCTTATTGTGCCATGCACGTGTCCATGGGAGGATACGAAAAGACTTAGATTACTCATCTTTCATAAAGAAGCAAGAGCGACAGAAGATGGTCGTGAAAGGAAGATTATCCACTATGCGGCAGAACAAATCGAAGAAAAAGACTTCGTTGCCTTCCAGAATATCAGCTGAGCACTGTTCCAAGAAAAATGACAAGACTTCTTCGGCTCGAAGACGTTCGAGTCCAGAAAGACGATCTGCAAAGGAATCGAGGCGACAAACCGGTAGAGGTAGCTCGCGGCGGTCGAAAGCGATGTCTCCGAGCGGTGGTGGTCCGAGGCTGCCATTGTCTCCGCGATCCTCCACAGCAGCAAAGTCTCCGACGTCAATAAAATCTCAAACATCATCCTTCTCTCGAAGATCAAAAATTGAGCCGTTGTTATCAGATGACGAGCTGAGGATTGCAGTAACGACAAGTTCGAAAATCGAAAAATCTACAGAAAATTACACACCTCCGGTTGCAGGTAATCGCTCAGCTGTCGAAACTGAAAATCCCAAGTCTCTTGCTTCAGGTGCTTCGAGTCCAAGAAAGCTCAAACCTCCGTCTGAAATTACTGCACGGGTTGCGCAAACAAAACAATACAAACCTCAGCCCGTTGCTGAGACTGCATCTATTGAAGACAGCGCAGAGAACGACAGGTATGAATTGGCCGAATCCAAGCTTGCGGCTGCAAGTCAAGGGATGTTTGAGGTGAAAAATATTACAATCAACGAAACATCTCCAACGGGACAACACAGGGGATCGAGTGCTCTCGAGGCGGGTTTGTTCACTGACGGTTCTGGAACCTTCGGTACCGATACCTATGCATCCGACACTTTTGCTGACGAGATGTCGTTTTCATTCGAATCTCACCAACGCCCGAAGAAGAAGTCTTATCGCAAGTACAGATTTAGCAGAAGTTGGGTTACGACGGATGCATCATCGTTCGACGATGTTAGTGTCATCGTCAAGCAACGGGTAGCGTGGGGTTGCATTTTCCTGTCGGCAGTCCAATTTGCAATTCTCACTACTCAAGTGCTGATGTGTGGAATCGCAAAATTGAATATTAACCCAACGATTGGTCCGTATCCTGATGCATTTTCTGAATGGGGAGGAAAAAATGCATATCTACTAGTCGAAGGACACCAGTACTTTCGGCTAGTCACTCCTACCTTCTTGCATGTTGGATACCTTCATTTCCTTATGAACGCATTTTTCCAGCTCGAGACCTGTGCTTACTTGGAACGTGAATGGGGATTCAATGTATGGATCTTCATTTACCTTGCAAGTGGTTTGGGAAGTTGTTTGGCGGCTTCCGCTATCGACCCAAACGTAATTGGTGTATGCAGTTCTGGAGCTCTGATGGGATTATTTGGCGCCAGAATAGCGCAGGCTATTGTGTGGTATTCCTTCGAGCCTCGCCATGAATACATAGGACAGGGTGCCCTTCTTTTCGAACGACTGGGTGGAATAGTTTGCAGTGCTGCAGTCGTATTTCTCTTAACGTTCTTGACATATATCGATTGGTCAGGACATTTGGGCGGTCTTGCGACTGGATTCTTAGTAGGGCTCGTGGTTTTCCCTTTTGCGTTGGAGGGTCGATCTACCAAAGCGGTGCTAAGATTTACCGGAGTGTTAGGACTTTTGATTGGAGGAGTAGTGCTTGGAGTGCTCCTCTTCCACTATGCAGAATTAGATGAAGAGCTCGCTAATGCATGCAATTACTTCCGAAGTCTTTACACAGAAGGGTACAACTGCGAGTGCCAGGCCTTTGACTAAGTTTGGCCGAGCTAGCCACGGCACTGCGCTCAATTGAGCGAACGCGGTAGTACATCTCCCCTTCATTGATTTGCTTTCAAAAGAATATATGTTCTAATTGTGGTCATTAATAGTGAAACATTTTATCTTACACCCTTACTTGTTCTTAGTTGTGGTAATACTTAATAATTCAATTGTGACATACATGTTTTCTTGCATTCATGCAATGACCTCTTTCATCATTTCAAAAAGAAATGGTTTCACAGGTTCCGTCGTTCAGAAAATTACAGTGACGAAGCAAAATTTGACCAGAACACTTTTTCATTCGAAAATACGATTTACAGCCAACATCTACCGTATGCTTGTGTTGAGACAGAACTGAATACTTAAAAATTATTTGCGTATGGAATAGTCACCTTTCCAAGGAAAGAATTAGTTTTCTTCTTCGATAACATCGTCATCGTCATCTTCTCCGCCGCTATCGTCTTCGGTATCGGCATCATCGTCGTCCTCCTCATCGTACTCCTCTGCCATGACCTCCTCTAATTCTGCTTCGAACTCGGCAAGGCGTCGTTTCATGAGCTCCGAGTGCGATTCCTCTTCGCTGAGCTCATCGTCCAATTCAAGTAATTCTTCTTCGGCTTCCAATTCGTCCTCCTCTTCGTCTGATAACATTAGCTCTACACCAGAGACAAAATTGTTTGGAATTGTTACAAGCCGTCCCTTTTGGTTGATGTACACATCGAGGGCGTTGCGATCGACTAAGACACCGTACAGGGACCTGTTGGATTCCCACGGATCATGGGTTCGGACCGCAACACGTCTGCCTATAGCAGCATCGAATTTCTTTTGCGTATCGATCGAACGGGGGTTGCTAGGAGAAGCCATTACCACCTCGTGGCGGGCCAAGACCTGGAGTTCGTCTTCTCGTTCGTTGAGGGCGTCGAGGATTGTTCCTGCAATGGTAGAAAGGGCTGCAGTGTTGACCTTCTCCCCGTAATATTTCTTGTGCGGTCCACTCTTGTCGAACCAGAACATGTCGTCCCAGTCGACCGGGTCGTCAGTCTTTGTATCTCGAAGCATGCGGAGTTCGTTCGCTCGCAACGCCAAGTCCTCTCGGAATTCCTTGTCGACGTAAAGAGGAGCGTCGCCTAATAAGTTTTTACATAAGAAACGCACCATAAGTACAACGAGAAGGGGGAAGCATTATTAATCTAATTCGCCCATTCCAAAAGCCACGAAGAGTCAATATCCGGCAATACTGGTAACGCGCTCTTCAGCAGCATCACTGCTCAAGCACCATAGCCAAATTTCTTATGTTTGGTGATCTTCTCTTACCTTCTGGGTCCATTCCTAAACTTTCGGGCGTATCTGCTTCTCCTTCTTTTGGATCTGCCTTGGCGTAGGTTCGGTTGGCGATCGCGTCTTCGGCGTCGGGATCCCTCTCGAAGATGGGGGTCTCTTCGTCTTCCTCAAACCAGATGTCCTCTGGTTCGGGATCGTCCGGATCGTAATAAATGGGCTTGGTGGCCGTATCGACCTTGATTTCCGGTCCACCCTCGCGCAAGAGATCCATCTTCATCTCTTGGAAGTCCATGCCGATCGTGATCACGACAGACGTGAGATACCACGTGGTGTCAATGTAGGTTCCCCCGGAAATCTGAACGCCCATTTCGATCATCTTCTCCGCCTCCTTCCTCCACTCGGCGTCAATGGGAGCATCGCAACCGGCCAGCTCTCCCCTCCTCCAGGGTTGGCTGGGAATGGGAATGTTGGAATCGTCGAACTTGGCTTCGGGAAGACTGTCGTAGTCAACCTCTTCAAATTCCTCTGGCTCCATTTCGACGGTTGGTCCGGAGGGATCCGATACCCTCGACGGCTTTCGTTCCGCTTGCAAAAGCGTAGTTCGCGTATTGCTGCCTGGCGTTTCCGTTCTGCTATTCGTGATCCATCCCGGAGAGAAGCAGTCGACCGCCACAGCGACGAACAAAAGAGTGGCGAGGTGAACGGCATGCGTTGTCACCATGGTAATGTATCAATTCAAAATTCTTGTGATGTAATTTATATTATGGTGTTGAGTGCTTTCTTTTCATTCGTGCGTTGGTCCCTTTCGTAGTATTGGCTTTCAACACAGTGGCTTATTGATCTCCCCGTTTCTGCAATTCTTATCTGGACTACCGAACTGTCTGCCCAAACAGAGACAATTAATAATATGATGATGGGTGACGGCCCTTAAAAGTTCTCCTAGCCTTCATGTCTGTGCGCTGTCAAAAGACTAAACTAGCGAAAAAATACATTCCAAGATGATGATGATTGTCGTTGATTTTGATGGCTCCGAACGATGCGTGGGTTCATCATTTGATGTTTGAGTCCAACGGGTCGAACACAGACGATTTCCGTTGAGACTTAGATTTTCTGTGTACGGTAGTAGAATAGAATACGGATAATAACTACGTCTAGTACATCATACATACGTTACGTACATACTACCGGTAGGAGTAGGTCCGAAAACTGAAAACGCAACTGAAAAAATTCGTCCTACTAGTGATGCTAGTACGTACTCGTACGTACCACAGTACGAGCACTCGTAGAGCACAGCTTGTACGGTCCGTCAACAAAATGGTGGGAGATCGGATACACAGACTGTTCTTTTCGCTCTGAAGAGGCTGCCCCAGCAGCGGATTGACGCCTTCAACAAAGCATCACATCACTCGCAACACTACCAGTAACACACCATGGACCCTGATTACTCGTCACTTCTTACGACGCCGATGTTGATGAGGGGGGGACTCTTGCTGGTGCTGGTGGTCCTCTTTCAATGGTTCGTGGCACGGGCACCAAACGTACAAAAAGAAACGAAGCGGCGATTCCAGCACGCCCTAACCGGGCACGCGCTGGTGCAAATATCGTACGTGCTGCCTAAATCGATATCACTGCTGATGCTGCTGATCGGATCGATCGGCATGTATCTAGCCAAAACATTTTTCTTCGAGCAGTTCCTAAAGGCATTCGGAGGCCTCCTGCGACCCAAAGAACTGTCCGGAGAAGTACTCCCGGGAGCCTTTTATTTCCTGATCGGAACCGCAATCACGATATCGGGATTGGTGACGAGCGACATACGGATTGCTCGATACGCGGTCGAATGCCTGGCGCTGGCGGATCCTATGGCATCGTGGATCGGGTCCTCGATTCGTTCCCCCAGGTTGTACACGATCGAGACCGACCAGAACGGGGGGACGCGGACCTCGTCGGTGGCGGGTTGCCTTGCGTGTTTCGGGACCGCACTGGTAATCGGCTGGGGGATGCTGTTGGTCGGCGACAACGACAACGGCAACGGCAACGAGGCCGATGGCAACCCTGTGGAGTTTACGCTTTCCACGCTGTTCGCAGGCGCCCTCGCGTGCACGATCGCCGAAGGACTTCCGTTCGGAAACGACAACCTGAACATTCCCGTGATTACGGCATTTGTCGTGGACACAGTTGCGTCTGCTTCGGCTCCCAGCAGGTGAACAGCACGAGTGCGGGGCAAACAAGTTCAAAATAAATACTGCGGACGGAGCAGAAGGACGTGGACATGCATTATTCTAGTGCGCCTACGACATGGAACAAGTTGACAACAAATGGGTTCTACACCTTTTAGTATGAATGCACTGGCACAGGAAAAGTCTATTGATTGGAGCATGCTAGTGGCAATAGTTGAAACCGCCAAAGAATTGTCTACAAATTCTTCTACGAAACCAACGTTTTCTTGGTATTCTACAGCAGAGCACATTTCAATTCAAGTCTTCTCTATTAATATGACTTCGTAAATGCTACTAATACACCACATAAGTGAAATACATTTTGATTTCATCATTCTGCCCAGTTTTCAATGACCTCTTCTTTTATTCCAAAATGCTTTGCTTTCCTGAGCTGTACGGTATTGTGTGGACACCGTGTCTCGATGTGTCTCGGATGGTCATGTATTGCCATTCGTGTTTCGCTAGGCTAGGGACGATCATCGTGTTCAGGATTTTGATTCGGCTTCTCATTCGAAACTCCATCATTCTAAACGTTATTGTCGTCATCGATCTCTTCGTCTGACAGATTCCCATTTCTGGATTCCTGGTTTGGATCCTCATTCGCAGATTCTTTCACATCGACTTCTTCCTTGCCGATCTTACTTTCGTTATCGAAATCTTCGTCTGACAGATTCCCATTTCTGGATTCCTGGTTTGGATCCTCATTCGCAGGTTCTTCCACATCGACTTCTTCCTTGCCGATCTTACTTTCGTTATCGATCTCTTCGTCTGACACGTCCCCGTTACTGGATTCCTGGATTGGTTCCTCATTCGCATGTTCATCTTTGTCGTCATCGATCTCTTCGTTTGACACGTCCCCGTTATTGGATTCCTGGATTGGTTCCTCTTCGACAGGTTCTTCTTTCTTCATTTTATCCTTGCTGATCTTATTCTTTTTCTTTCCGCCTTGTTTTCTGGATTCGATCAGGGCTTGACCCGAGGCTATGCCTTTGGCAAGATTTTTTGTGTCAATGTCCTCCGGAATCGGACGGTCTTCACTGCCCTTCAAAAAAGCCTTGTCCGCGAGCCGAAGTTTTTTTCCCTTACTCGCTCCATAGGCGGGATCATGTTCTACAAGGCCTTTCCTCCGCAATTCTTGCAAGCTGTAATGAAAGCCGTGCGACCTTCGATTCTGACCGACCAAAGCACTAAGATCATCGGGTGAAAGCGATCCGTATACGAGAAGTAAATCGAATATCTCACTGGACTTGGGCTTCTTGAGGTACTTCTTGGTACGTTCCTGATGATCCTTGTTTGTTTTGGGTTTGGTAGCCAAATCCTTCAGCATTTCTCTGTACTCCGGGGTCGCTGCACGGTCCACCCCCGCTTGAGTCAATTGAAAGCAACCCTTCTTACCAGTTTCGGAAGGCCCGATAAGATTCTCTTGGTTCTTCAGTACGGTCCATCTTTCTCGGAACGACTTAGTGCGTTCTTGGACACCCAACTGACTCGCGATATCGGTTAGGGTTGCATCGAAGTTTTCATCCATGTACAACTCAAACATAACGGCAAGAATCCTGGCATCCATAGATTTTATTTTGTCACCTTGAGGAGACGAAGCATCATCATCGGTCCTGGTTTTGCGTTTTCCCATTTTTTGAGATCAAGTCTTTTTCTTGGCACGGAAGAATGGCAAAAACAAGATTAGTTACGTACCCACAAGTGATGGAGAATGTATAATTTGATGCGACGAATACATAGTTCAAATACAATGAATGCTTACATCTGATGAAAAACAATTATTATGATGGTCTATCGCTTCCAATTTTTCATGGAATTTTGTACAATGTTCTCCTCGTTTTCGACTTTAGGTTTCTGCTTCGTTTTGAGAATTCGTAGTGAATCAAACGGAAGCAACTAATTCGTGCAAGCTATACTTACCAACGTGTTCGGGTGTCTGCTCCAACGTTGTGGTGGGAAGTTACTCGGAGACTACACCAGTAGATCGCATCCCCACTGGTTTATGTTTGACCGACGTTTCGGTTACACTTTACTTCTTCTTGTTGTGCTCCAATATTGACGAGGATTTATTCTAGCGTATCGTGTGCCGATGCCATGATCATAGAAATTTGATATGAGCCCCTGGTCTGCAGGAAGGATAGCAACGTGGAAACACTCACAGTATTAATCGGAACATAACCACCTGTTGAAACGAAACGGTCCCTGCTGCATGCAGTCGATGTGCGTTGGTTGTTCGCATTCAAAACCCGAAAAAAACCTCGATCGGGAACTACAGAGGGGTCTGAAAACTGACATATGGGCCCTCCAGAACCGAACGCATCATAGATCACCTCTTTTGAGTTCCTCCCCCAAGATCGACAGCGGTAATTCCATGCAAGAATAATAACTCATGAAATAACCCAGGGCAGGAATAACCCACAAAAGGAGAACCAAGGATGTACTAGTACTAGTATTTCAGTCATTGTATAAGAAGGGTTGGGGTTGGGGTTGTATGGGTGGTGGTGGTGGTGGCTATTTTCCAGAGGGCCCTGCTCTACTACTAGTACTACTAGTACTAGTACATCACAGTACTACTAGTAGTATTACTACTACTCTTACTGCTGCTGGCTGGTACCGCTAATACAATAAAATCACATGTAAAAGTTTTAATTAAGAATCCATATCCAAAATAATTTTCTTTTCAAATGCTATCCCGCATATCCCCCACAATGGCTAGAAGCAGACCACACCAATAGAAGCAGACCTTCAATGTTTCCAGACTAAACCAAACTAGCAGTAGCAACCGCCAATGTTTTTGAATATAAACATATTAGTAGTACAATACTAGTGTTCTGCGCAGTACCAACAACAAGTATTGCCATACTATAATTATTAGCTACTTATGCTGGGAGTACTTCTAGTAGTATGAGTGCCCATCACTTGTTGGAGCCAGCTGCTGCTGGTAGCAGTAAGAGCCAAGCCATTCATACAACGCAAATCACCACCACAAAAAAGACGTAGGAGTGACAGTGCATATGCGCGAAGCTACCTATGCCTTTTCACCACGTGTGAATCCACCTTTCCCATCAGCCTTGTCTACCCGGATCATCTTGACGTTGAATAGGAGAGTTCGATCCACTCGTGGGTTGTCGAGGACGAAATTAAGTGCACGTTCCCCCGAGAAGGTAGTCGGTTTTGGCCCAATCTTGTCGTGGGACGCATCCTCCTTGGTGCTCGGATAGCCCAATTCTCCATAAGGAACAATAATCTGCCGGATGCCTCCAACCTTCATGCTCTGCATAGCTAGCTCCAATCCCTTGACAACCTCTCCTTTCCCCAGAACGGTTCGGGAATAATCCTGGTTTTTGTCGAAGGCCCCACCCTGGGGACCACCCTTGGCCTCGAAGGGCCGACCAAAATAACCAATAGTGTATCCGCTCCATTCGTACACCACCCGATCTCCAATGGAGGGGGAAACCCCGGTTCCGACATTGACGTCGCGGTAGGAAAACCCCTCTGGGGCCTTCGTGAAATCCTCGTATTGCTGTAGGTTGACGCCCTCGGCCTGGTTCGCATTGGCGGGCAGGGATATCGACGTACCGGCTATGGCTGCGACCGCTGCCGTCGCTGCTGTCCGGAAAACTCCTCGTCGGTCGATATCGATCGAATCGCTGTCCTTTGTTGTGGCCTGTAGCCGTATTGGGTTCGACTGTTCTTGCAAGGCTGGCGCAAAGGCATCGACCATCGCCGGGCCTGTCCCAACCGCAGACAGAAGGACACTACAGCAATACAAAGTGGATTGTCTCATGGCGTTCTTGAAGATTTTGGTGGAAAATGGACTTAGGTCTTCTCGTTCGTGCATTCACTCGAAGTATGGCAATCTCGAAGTCGTCACTGTCGAAGGGAAGAAACAGGACAGAACGGGTGGGATCTTTCTCAATCGTCGTCAGAGATCCATGTTGTGAGCGATTGCGTGTCAATGCGTGTCACACGACGTCCGGTACTCGTACTCGTACTCGTACTCGTACTCTGTTTATGCCGTACGTACGGTAAGCTGACCGATATCTCGTCGGCAACCAAATGAGGTGTGATTCTCTGCGTAGAGCCATGTAAAATTTGTACCAGCTCAGGACCTGTCTAACCCTCATTAGGGTTCGTTCAACCGACCGGGAAGTACGCGTAGCATTGTCACCATTCCTATTGTACGTATGTTAGATACCTTTCGGGGATACAGTATTGGCTGCTGGCTGACGTATTTACCACGACATCTATCGGCTGTTCAGAAAGTTGAAAATCATTTTGTGATGCGTTCGACGATTGGATGAATGAAGAATGATCCGTCTGAAACCAATCTGACAGCAAAATCCTGCCCCATCACGTTGAAAAGCTTCGATAGAATATAATCGTAAATACAGTGGTAGGGAATAGAGCAAACAAATTGTAACACAACACAAACTTTAGCACGATGAGGTCGTCTATCCCTGCATCTATTTTGATCATTTCGTCTACGGCGACGTCTTGTGCGGCGTTTTCGACGGTGTCCATTGCAGACCAAACAAGGAGACAACAACAACACTCGTCGTGTGCTGTCTTGAGATCTTCCTCCAGCGAATACGATAGCTTTTGGAATAATGACATCATCAACCGGCGTACGATTTTATCTACAGCAAGTGCGGTCCTTGCGTCTTCGGTAGCAGTGGCAGGCCTTCCGCTACCCGCAAGCGCTCTGGTAAAGGGCGTAGCGCCTCCACCGAAAAAATCCGTTGGTGACAAGCCGAAATGCACCAATGTCGAGGAGTGCCAGGCCATGGCCGACAAGCGAGCCGACGAGGAACGCGCCAAGGAAGAGAGCGGGCCACCTCCACTGGTCACAAAGTCGGGCCTCAAGTACCGAGACCTGGAAGCCGGAACCACCATCCTCGACCCCGAGACGGGAGAAGACATCAGCACTACCGCTAAAGACGGAGATGGTGTGGAGGTTTATTTCAAGGTTCTGAAGCTTGGCAAGCGCAGCTATGACGGATTGAGCGGGGAAGGCACGGTAGTGTTCTCGCGTGGTTATGGTTTGGAAGACGACGAGAACGCCGCGGGACAAAAGTCCTTCCAAACCACGGTTGGTTCATTCCAAAACATTGCTGCCCTGAACGAAGCACTGGTGGGGATGAAACCCAACGGCCTCCGGCGCTTTGCCATTCTGCCCCAGAAGGGATGGGAGAAAGCCACGGCGGCCTGTGACGGCGGACCGGGCGGTGGCGGTGCCGGAGGGGAAATTCGCACCGATTACGTAGTGGTGCCTACGGCGACCATGGTCCAGCAGGAAGCCTGCTTCGATACGAACAAGATTCCCTTTCCATCGACCTACGCGCAGCAACGGCGGATGGCGCAACGGTTCGATCAGTCCCTGATCATGGAGGTACAACTCGTCTCCATCAATGGAAAGCAATAATGACAACTGCTATGTTGTCAATAATGTTGTTAATGCTACTTGTACTACATGATCAGGAATGCTAACCATTGGAAATAGACTGCAGAAAGGACGCAGTTTCTTTCCGCATTGACCAAATCAACCAAGTGAACCACGAAAGGTATGCGCCAGAGAAAGAAACTGGGTCCAAGAATCAGTGATGGAACGGACAACTATTCAAAGCTAGATTAAAAATAAGGAATGAATTCGAGCTACAACAACCTACTTAAGGCTACTGTGCTGTTGATTGTGCTGTTGTTCAGCTTTTCGGATTTGGCGTTTGTGTTTTTCGTCTTCTTTTGGTAAGATTTCGTCGAAAGATGATGCATTTGGCGACTGACCGCAACGGCGCACGTTCTATAAAAATTGCACCCATGTGTTCGTGTCGAGACGGACATGGCGTGGCGGCTGTTCTTTCCTCAGCCGAGGGTTTTTCCCCTGGTGATCGAATTGCTTCAAGCCGATAAAGTATCCACGAGGTCATCTAGGATGCAACAGCATCGTACCTCGGTCTGAATGGATGAACGTTGTGTAGCTTAGGCTGATGTTTCAAAACTTGTTTCGTTATCATCATTGCACTCCGAAAGCTCCCTGCTTATTCATCTTACGGTCTCGTTGTCGATTGACACGATTGTCTGATTTTGGTTTGGTGCGTGGTTTCTTTTTGTTATTGTTATTGTTCCCTGCTCCACTCGAACCGGCACCGCCATTTCCACCGTTACTGTTGTTGTTGCTGTTTGAGTTTCCTCCTTGGCCCTTTTTGGTATTGTTGTTGTTGTTGTTGTTGTTGTTGTTGTTGTTGTTGTTCTGTTTGTTGTTGCCGTTTTTCTTTTTTCGTACGCCACCCGGCTTTCGAACAATCTTTCCATCGGCGCCAATGATCCGTCCTCCCTTTATCTTATCCGGTCCCCACTGTTTTTTCGATGCCTCGCCATCGGTGTTGTTGTTGTTGTTGCTGTTGTTGTTGTTGTTGTTGTTATTCCCAGCGTTGTTCGAACCCTTTTTGTTCGTGTTTCGGTTCGATTCCCAGAAGGAAGCATCGGACATGTCTTCCTGAACGATTTTGTTATAGAGCTTGATCTGTTCGTACGTCATGTTGTTTGCAGAACCAGCGGCACTGGTGTGGTCCGTCGTGAACCCATCGTCGGCCGCTCCGAGCTTGATGTCGACCTCGTCGTATTGATCGTCGTAGTCGTCGTTGTACTCGTCGGCAAGGACGCGCCGGTGCTGTTCCCGGAGCTTTTGCTGGCGGAGTTCCTTTCGGGTAAGCTTGCGCGCCGCACCTGGTTTGGGCTGGTCGGTCGGGGAGCCACCGCCACCGTCGACTGGCTTGGGAGGAGGAGGATCCGCCGACGCCGACGCGGACACCACTACCAGGGCCTCGTACTCCTCCCGCTTTTGCTTTTCTTCCAGGGCGAGCCGTTCTTTCACGTCGGCCCGTGCTTCCCGGGCGCTCGCGGCCTCCTCCTCCGCGGTCTGGTAGGCAACGAATTCTCGCTTGCGGCGGGGGAGTTTCGGATCCAGCATCCGGAGGGCGGTCGGGTAACCTGGGTCGGCGCTGTCCCCGTCGGCCGGGTGCTGGAGGAGGGTCGCAACGGTAGCTTCCACGTCGCCCTTGTAGAGGCCGAGGGCAACCTCCACAAAGCCCTCTCCGAAGTGCGGCAAGACCTGCAGGACCTGTTTCACCCGGCGGTCCAGTTCGGTCTCGGCCGGTGGTGCTTGCCGCTTGGATGGGGCACCGGTGTTGGTCTTTGGTTTGGACGTTGGGGCTTCCCTGACCACCGCCATGGACGATGGCTGCCCCCTCGCCGACTCCAGCATGCTCGCAATGTATTCTCGTTGCTGTGCCCGTTCCAGGATGGCGTCGTCGTCGTCGTCGTCGTCGTCATCGTCACCCCGCCGGTGGCGGTTGCCCCCAATGTGCGAGAGGGATTCTTCCAGCGTCCGTCGAAAGGGATCTCCCCCCAGCAGCTGCCACTCCTGCAGGTCTCGGAGGCAATCGATGGATTCTTCTTCCATCGAACGGATGGCCTCCAGGAGGGATTCTTCCACCGGTGGCGTGTTCGGTGCATTCTTTCTCTTTCTGTGGAAGGGTACCGGCAGGATCAATCCATCCAGCAACATCCGCGACAGACACGACAAGACGGCGGTCTTGTTGGTCTCCATCTCCGAGGCGCTCGAATCCGGATCCGGCAATGCATCCCGCTGTTGCCGCTTCTCCGCCACGACAAACCGATCGTAAAAGGCCGCCAGGGTCGAGGTCCATTCGTGGTCGTACGCCAGGCGGCACAGACGGCTCCTGCCGGATCGGTACTTGCCGTCCCCGCAAGTCGGATCCGGGGCGCCGCCGTCGGAAAAGGCGCCCACAAGGCCGGCCACCGAACGGGCCGCCCGGGCCAGGTCGGTTTCGACCCGAACGGTTCCGCTTGCGAGGAGCCGCCCGGAAGCCCGCCGGAGGTCGCGAAATACCGGCTCGAGCATTTCTTCGGAGAGGCTCTCGATGAGTTTCCGGTAGGCGATTGCGACCGGATGGCCATCGCCGTTGTTGTCGTCGAGTATCCGAAAGAGCACCAAACCCAGCCGGTAAAATTGCTGGAGCGAGGGCAGCAGCTGTGGGGAGGAGGGAGCGGTTGCCGAAACCGCGAGGCCTTCCAGGTCGGAAACAAGCTGCTGTGCGACGTCCACAGGACTCGCGGTGTCCATTGTTGTTGTCGAGAGGTTGTATTTGTTGCCCTTTTTCCTTCGCGAATGCTATGTTCGTGATTCAATTCGTGAGACTATGATACAATCGGTTTCGTCACAAATGTTGTGGTTGCTTCCTCTTCTAGAGTCCGTTGCGTTGGCATCGAGTGGGCTCTTGGCAAGAGATTTCTTCAAACCTGCGTTCAAAATGCTGTCGTGAGGATCGTGCGGCAATCGTACGATGGACATGTGTTCCGAGTACCGAGTACCGAGTACCGTACGAGTAGGAAGTGTCAGGGTACAGTAGGTACGTACCGTACTTGGGTACCACACCAGTTAGTCCGGGTCAAAGTGTGAACGTGAAACGTGACGCACAGACTAAGAATCTTTTCGAACAAAACCAGAACTCCATTGATTGGTCGGCGCTGCGTCACTTCATACCAGGTAGGAGTCGTCAGGGTAGAAGCTACGTACGTACCGTACTACCTCCTCTACGATTCTTCTTTCTGTCGTGAGTGTTGTGCATTCACGGACCGTTGCATAATTGGTCTTGGATGGACGGCGCTGCTACGTACGGTATCGTACGTACCATTCCGTTAGAAGAAGTGCTGGCAATACGTACGTACCTTACGGCACCGGCCTACAAACGTGAGTCGTTTCCTTTTTGCTTCCGAAATTTGAAATCGTCGATCGACTGCAAAACAAGAGCACGGCATACGAGAAAGAACGGCCAAAGCAATCACAGTGCGAGACTAAAAGAATGTCCACGGTCGTATTATCCCCAGCCAGTGCTACCAGTCGGATGGTCCCTCCGAACTTTCGAAACGAAACCGAAACCGCCATGCCGTCGCTCATCGACAACGTGACGAACGACGACGACGAATCGGAATTGGAAGCCGGGGCTGATCCCCAACCCGGGAAGAAAGAGGATGAGGCGGAAACCCTGGGTGAACGGGCATCCAAAGACGGAACCAAAGCCGATGAAGATCCCGACGCCGAAAAAAGCGGTTGCTTCGCATCCTTTTTGACAAAATTCTGCGCCTTTTACTGGCAGAACGAGTTTCTCATCCTCATCGTATGCGCCATACTGCTGGCCAGGGCATATCCACCCCTGGGCGCTACGTATTTGGCACCCCAGTACACGGCGACGTGGATTGCGGTAATGTTCATCTTCCTGCTGGCTGGCCTCGGACTCAAGACGGAAGAGTTTGCCAAGGCCTTTCAGAGAATCTATTTCAATACCTATGTGATGCTCTTTAGCTTCGGCGTCGATTCGTCCATCGTCTTTGGGATCAGCCGGTTGGTGGCGCACTACAACATCATCAACCAGGGGCTTGCCGACGGCATGGTTATTGCCGCCTGTCTGCCCCTAACGATCAACATGTGCGTCGTCCTGACCAAGGCCTCGGGGGGAGACGAGGCCTCGTCGATTTTCAACTCGGCCTTTGGCAACCTGGTGGGAGTCTTTCTGAGCCCGGCACTCATTTTGGGATACATCGGTGTCAGCGGCGAAGTGAAGGTGCTGAACGTCTTTTTCAAGCTCGCGATCCGCGTCCTTCTACCGATCATCGTCGGACAGCTCCTCAAGTATTTCTGTCCCCCGGTGAACGATTTCGTCAAAACCTACAAGCCCAAATTCAAAAAGCTCCAGATGTATTCGCTCGTCTTTATCGTCTACTGCGTCTTTTGCAAGACCTTTGGCAGCGACGAGGCCTCCATCCCGATCGGAGATATCTTCTTGATGATTCTATTCATCGGTATTTCCCTCACCATTCTCATGCTGCTGGCGTGGTATTCCCTCCGCTTGTTCTTCCGGGAGAAACCAAAGCTGCGGATCATGGGACTGTACGGATGCACCCACAAGACGGTCGCCATGGGCGTACCGCTTATCAACGCCATCTACGAGGGGGATCCGAACATTGCCATGTACACGCTGCCGCTCTTGATTTGGCACCCGATGCAGCTCATCGTAGGCACTTTCTTGTCGCCCCGGTTGCTCGCGTGGGTGGAATCCTACCCCGTCGCCGGCGACAAGGCCGGATCCGGTGACGACTCGAACGAGAGCGGGGAAACCTTTGCCGAGAAAAAAGTGGTGGTGGGAGTCGCCTCCGCCGATGGAGACGACGACGTGGTAGACGACGCGGTGGGCGATGCCAACAGCATCAAGTCCGGCAAAAGCATAGAAATGGACGTTTGAATCGATTTCGGGAAAGCCGGCTTGAGTTGTGTCGAGTATAGCTAGGTTGCTGCGTGATACAACTCCTCAACGAAAGCGAGCCAAGCTAAAGCCTTCGTCGTGGGAATCGCTGGTGGGCGATCGAGCTCGTGCTGTAATGAAAAAGATGTGTACAATTCAGGATGCAATGGACGTCTCATTGTAAAGCATCCCATTTCCATACACTATCGAAAAATGCTAATAGAAACTAATCCGAGGCAATATGGCGAATAATGAGCAATAATAAAATAGTCGTGCGGTCCTTTCCGACACCTAGTACCGTGCGCGCATGCACAGTGCCGCACCAATCGCACTGCCGCGATGCCCGGTTTCGGATCAGAGGCGAACCTGAACGACCCTGGCACCGCCCCCATTGATGTTTTGCCCGATGCGGATGCGGTCTCCGAGGTACAGGCTCTCGAAGATTCCCCGGCCCCGGATCATGGGCAGAGCGACGGGACAAGACCCGCTCACCGCGCTGGATCCGCTTGGAAGAGAACCTCCGAAACAAAGGTTTCCTCCGTCTATGCTGGCCTCAAACCTCCTGCGGTTGCCGGTGGTCGTGATCTCGCGGAGGCTTCCCGACACCCGTATGTCGACCAGGGGCCCCAGCACCTGGCCAATGTTTGTCACCCTTGCACCGTCGGCGGCATCGGAAGAGGCAAAGACCTGAAAACTGTCGTTGTAGTTCCAATCGGGAACAAAGGGAATCCTTCGATCGATTCCTGCTCCGCTGGGACCCTTTTGCAGGTAGGCGACGACCCATGTGCCCTCCAGAGAAGCATCGGCAATACCACCACCAGGTGCCGACGAAGACACCGCGGAACCGGTAACGGGCGTGGATGCCGCTTCCAGTTGGACGATTGATTCGATCCGGGCATCGATTTCGGCCCTTTCTTCGGCGGAGTACTCGTAGGGCCGCCTTCCGTTTACGGCCTCGAAGAGCGCGGTGACGGCCGTGGGTTCCCTGTTCGTTGATTGGATCGTGCGCGTGGACCGCGGGGGTGGATCGTTGAAAGAGGGCGTGAAGGTTTGTCGGAGGGCCTCCGAGGCGCCCTTGGTCCAGGTCTGGTCCTGTCTCGCAACCAGTCCGGTGGCCGGATCGAGGGTGTACCGGACCGTGGTTTCGTAGGCCGTGATGTAGGGGTTCCACGGAAAGAATTCCGATAGGTAGCCCCTCGATCGGAGGCGACCGGAAATGGTGGTGGGTTCTTTGTCGGTAGTGGAAACCACCAGGCCGTCGCCAAGGAGCTCAACGACCGACCGGTTCGGATCGAAGAGAATGGCCAGGGCCTTCTGGTACTGGCTCAGGCTGTTGACACGGTTGGTAGGGTCTTCAAAGACGCAGTCGTCTCGGAACAGGTCCGGCGACAGATCCCCCGAGACAAAGTAGCCCCCCTTGTTGGTTGCCCCCACCAAGAGATCGTGGGAGAGGCGGCGTGCCATCTCGTCCGGATCCAATCCGATGGTCTTTGTCGTTGTGGTCGTTGAGGTTGCCTTGGGGTTGTTGGTTCCGGCCGGTCCCAGGGGTGCCAGCTTCGTATAATCTCGGAGCACAGAGGGCAGCTCGTCGACAGCGGATGCTACATTAAAGGATTCCTTGGGCAAAAACGGAGCGTCGACCAAGCCGGAAGAGCAAACCGAGACCATAGAAATGGCTGTGGTTCGAAGCCAGTGTCGTCGACAAGTAGTAAATGCATCGTCGCCGCCCCGGATGATTGTTGTCGTTGCTGCTGCTGTCGTATCAACATCATCGCAGAAATCACTGCTGCTGATAATGCCAATTTTGTTTGCTGTTATTGTTTTTGGTGCAAATCTATCTCTTTCGTTCTTCGCGACGTGTGGTTTTGGATTCGGGAGAGCATCGTCGCATCGGAAGCCACAACCGTGTGGCGCCGAGGAGGTCAAACCGACATAACACCACGGTCCAGGAATCAGGCACGTGCTTCGATTGGCGAGGAGTAGCATCAGCACAAGCCGCAAGGAGGGAATCGCCCGCAGCATTCTGTTTGGTTTGTTGACTGTCATCGGCGGCAGAAGTCGATGAATGAAGTTGCAGTATGGTGATTTTGACTTCCTGGCCCGGGTTTTGTGGTCTTGATTTGGGTACGGTACGTACGTACCCGTACCTACGAAGTGCTTGTAGCACACTAATGCATGTACACCTCGCCTCATACTTCTAATCTTTCCGTTCTAAGATACTACTAAAAAATTAAAATTTGAATGAAATTGTTCACGAACTGTTTGAGGTGTCATCATACATCATACCGTTACCCATACTGGTACGTACATACTTACGGTACGACGTCATAACTCTCGTCGATCGTCGTTTATCGCATGGTGTTACCCATGGTGTTCCATGTTCCATACCTGCACGGTACTACTCGTACGTACCAGTACCGGCCGGTACGTTGTCCGTACTAGTCCATAGAACATACGGTACGGTAGATAAAAGTATCTAGGAAGAGTATGAATCATATATCAGTTTAGCATACATCATCGTACGAAGTACAGACCAAAGCTCCGTCACGCCTCGTTCACATACCTCCTCACGTAAAAAATTCTTGCTTCTCTCATTTTCTCACCGTGCAAAAAAATCTGGTGTACTGTAAATAATTATTGGTAGTAATCGTTTTGACAGTAATCGTTTTGACTGCACAGGCACGAGTACCGTGTACCAAGTACTTACTTGTACGAGTGCCAGTTCCAACATCATGCCGCCCATGCCAAAAGCGGAAATCTGTTGCCGAAGGCAATTTTTACCGTACGGTAGTAGTAGATCGCACGGACCGTTACGATAATTGTACGGTACGGAACCAGCACCGCAACCCAATTTGCGCAACACAACCAACTATCCTCAGGAACAAAGAGACTTACCAGTCCCAAAAGTAAGAGACAGAGAGTACCTAACACTTTTAGATTCTTGCTCAACCGTGGCAACGCTACCATTACCACCCAAACACACACACCATCCTCAGAGGTCGGTAGATTGTTTCGATTCTATTCGAATAAAGCAAAAGATTCGATTATCTGTTGACGGACTACTCGGACCCCATCTGCAATCTGCACCAGCACAAACCCCGTGCATACAATCGAACAGACAGAAAATCAAGAATAAACCGATCGGCACTGCTACCATGGGAAGCAGTGGATCCAAGCACACAACAACGAATACAACGAACACGATGCCCATTTCTCCCTCGCAGTTTTCCTTCTTCCAGACACTGACGGCGCGATGCGACGATAGCAACCCCCCACCGCCACCACCTCCCCCCGGAAGCGATTCCGCCCCCCCACCGCCCCCTCCGTCTTCTGCCAACGATGCCAACGACGATTCCATTGCCAAGGCCGCCGCCATGGCCTCTCAGATGATGAATCCCGGTCCTCTCGAACAGGCCCCGGCAGACATGAAACGCCTGGTCCAGCTGGACACGCACGACGGCTTTCGGTGTGACATCAACAAGCAGATCTCGCCCTACCTGGCGGTCGTCCACTCTTTCTGGCTGGGAACCAACATGCTTCCGGACGGGCAGAAACGAACCTACACGTGGATGGCACAGGTTGCCGACGAATCCTCCTTCTGTTTTTCCCGCCTTGACCCCTCCCAGTCCAGCGTTGACGGCCGAATCATCAAAACCCTGCTGGGGGGAATCGCAACGGCAAAGCTGCAGCTCGGCCTCAGTGCCGAGGGCCAGGCCGACCAGTGCCTCTTGGAGGTCGACGTCAACGCCATGTCTTGGAACGGAAACCTGAAGTACGGAAGCATGGGCGGCGGGGCCGTCTACGGGTGCTCTTTTCACCAGGGGATCACCCCAAACCTCAGCATGGGAGGGGATGGAATGTTTGTCGCGGCAAACGGAAACATGATGAGCAACTACCTCCTCAAGTACTCCTTTGGCGCCAGCGGGGAAAGTACCAGTGCCAACGAGCCGCCCTCCTCTGCGGTCTGCCTGCAGTTTGCCCCGAGCGGACCGTCCCCAATGCCCCTGACGCTTAACTACAAACGAACCGTGACGCCCAAGCGCGTCACGCTGGGAGCCGAGCTCTCCTGTGACCCCCTATCGATGCAGTCCCACTGTGTGCTTGGGGGAGAGTTTAAGTTCAGCCGCAGCAAGCTTCACGTAGCCGTCGACGGGAACCTCAAAATGCAGAGCCTCCTGGAAACCCCGCTCGGGAAGGAACCCGGGCAGCCCCGGCTGTCCCTTTCGGCCGAGCTCGACCACCTCCGGGACGAGATGAAGTTTGGCTACGGGCTGGCCATTGACGGATAAGTGAAGGAGTGCGGTTTGTTGCGTTCGCGTTTGTGTTTGCGTAGGAACGTACGGCACGAGGCATCAACGACACCGATACGGGCACATAATTGGGAGGATGAAAGTGGAATATAAAATACAGTATTATTGTACGATTGCAATTTCATCAAACTCTAATCGAATACACTGCCAAAGGAAAAGACATTAGAACGACCAATCCGGGTCCCTCTGGCTGGGATTGTTCTAGTGCAGTATTGAAATACGGCAATGTGACAGAATTACTGACACTGTCGTGACGGAATGCAGCAGAATTATCTCGCACTCTGAATCCGAACTGACACACGAACTCATCTATTAATAAAATTATAAATTGAACAATATTAAATTAGTAGTAAAATGTAGTTTAAAAGAAAGAACGCATCGACAATGGGCAAAGGTGGAGAAGAGCAGCTGCCCTTAATGGAGTTCTAACAATACGATTAAGGGTTTGTACAATGACCTGCCTGCAGACATTGCTTCGTCTTTGCTTGTTTTGGTCTTTGGCAGCCTTCAATAACATGGCTCGTACTAGGAAAAAATCGAGGACTTGAGTGTTTAGAGACAAAGCAATACAATCCGCGCTTGTCGACCCGCCAAAAAAATTCAACGGATACCTTGTTTATGGAAGGCTTTGATTCTCCTCTTTGCGTTGTGGTCAGCTACTACTAGCATGTGGATATTTGGTTCCATTTTGTCAATTTCATGTTTGACAGAGTGCTCACAAGTCAACATCTCCACCTCCACCAGTATGAGGTTGGATTCTCACAACAAGAGTAGTACTACTAGTAGCACGTGTTCAATCTCAAAGTGCTGCAGTATTATATATGATGCCTGCCAATATGGCCATGTTAACCAGAATGTATCAGTACCAGCACAATAACTGAAATTATGGTGTTTTTATTTCCTGTGTGCACAAAACTACAATTGCATGTACTTTGAGGAGCTGCTCCAACACAACTAGTGGCACAATATGTTCTCACTCCACATGTGTCTCAGCACAAATTTCACGCCCATACTTGATTTTTCGTCATTATTTTTTTCTCCTTCTTGCAATGACAAGACAACAAATGTACCAACAAGATTCTGAAGCATCTAATGAAATTAATCTTATTTTGGTGTTCCTGTTCTAACATTATTCCAAAGATAAATTATCTGATACCTCTACACAATTTCTGCTGTGGCACTTCAAGATTTCTCCCTCTGCTGTTCCCAATTCTTTTCTGACAAGAAACAACTCTATCTGATTCCAAAATAAACTCCTAATACTGCATTTTCTATTACTTTAGCTCCCATGTTTGTTTGTTGTTGTTTCTAATTTAATAATGATGTACGACTTTAACTAAATATACTGCCAAACCCAACAAAGTCTTAGCATCTCTGAAGACACTGTATTACCACAATTCTGTCTGATTGAACATCTTTTCATTTTTGCACAGTTTTCTTCTTTTATTCTCCCTTTCCTCTTTGTCTTTGCCACCAATGTTAGTATCCCAATACTCATCCATGAGTGCAACCTCAATGGTTGTTGACTTATCTTCTGTAGTCGCAAAAAGTGAATGCAACCAGTAGCAACCTCTCGCAACCTTTTTCTTAAATATGCACCCCGAATTTTTTTCTCGCGTCCACTGAACCTCACATATAGCATGGTTTTGGTTCCATTTCAACCTATTAAACATTGTTGCAAGGGTTGTACTGAGTTGTTACGGAAAACCAGCAGTGCAATTTCTGTTCTCAGGTAGAAGCAACCACCAGTCTCACCACTTTTGGTTTCACCGTTATCAAACACAAATTGTTCACGATTAAAAAATGTTGAACTGTAGTCCTTTGCTTTCACTACAATCCAATTCCCTCAACCACAGCAACCTTGCCATCTGCTTCTCTCTACTGCAGTATTGCTGCTATTTTTCTTAGTTGTTCTCGCACAATCTGTTGTTTTCATCACAAACACATTTAAAATGAGGACTTTGCTTCTTGTTTGTGGGTACTAGAAACCATTCACACATTCACTATTTGAAATCTAATCACAACAACAATTGTGAGGTTGCCCCTCCTCTGTTTGCAACACAGGAATGATTGTAGCTGTGTTAGACAAACAAGCAATCTTTCACAATTCACAAAAGCACAGCACCAAGGAACCTCCATTCTTTGCTGCCATTCTCATCATATTTCTTTGCAACTGTACTGCAACAATGCCCAACACCTCTGACATGGATAAATCGGAACCTCACAGTTCATATTTGCCACCAAATGGAAGGATCTATTCAAACAAAAGATCTCCATCCAACAGCTTTGTTCCTCCACACAATGAAATTATTTCTTTGTGCGTTTTTCAAGTTCAATCAACACAAGAGCAACATAGTCCAGCTTTTCTGCTCTCTTCAAGAACAAGAACAATTAATCCATGCCTGTCTCCAGGACATGGTCAATGATGACCATTAACTGCATGAATGCAATGCAAACCAATTCTCCCTAGGATTAGCTTCCAAGAAATTGTCAACTGTCTCAGATAAAGCAAATGAATGGACAGATGCTCACAATGTCAGGGATTTCACAGAGAAATTCCCTGAATGGGGCAAATTTGTTGTCAACCTTATATTGTACATTAGTAAACTCAACTCCTTCACAAGTCACCATCAATTCCTTTCAAGATGGTGTGTGATTGAAATATCCAAATGTTTTGATGCACTCAACAAGGAAGGTATAAAATCTTCAGTTATTCAGTCTCTCCTGAATATAATTCAGGAGTCCAGCAAAGAGGTGAACACATGCATCAGCTTGAACAACATCCTCATGAATAAGCTGCTCCACCATTTGTGTACTAAAGTATTTCTTCATTGTGATCCAACCACATGCAAACCTGATATTCATTTAATGGATCTTCTCCAGGAATGTGAGAATCTTACAGTGATTTGTGACCACAATCCCTTTTTTCTCAACTCCACGGGCAAAACAGATCACCATAAGGTGGACAAGGTAATTCCAAACCTCCTCCAGAGGCTCAGGCCCCACATAAAGTCTGCACAGGGTAGTTGCAACAGCTTTCACTCTCTTCAATAATTGGTGAATCATCTCCAAAGTAGAATCAATACTTCTGTGTCCTCAGCCCTCTCTGCCGTTGACTTCATTGGATGTTATCCACCAAACTCAGAAGAAGTGAGTGTTGCAAAGGAGAAGCAGAAAACATCAAGCATCACGCAAGAGCCAGGCAACAAACTAAAGCAGCCAAAGACTTTGAAGACGTCTAAGCTCACTCCTGTATTTCAACCTAATCACCATTGCCATTGCTTTTTGCTGGTGGAAATACCACAGGACCCAACGCAATCTAAACCAACCACAGGCTTGCAAGAAGAAGCCAAAACAAATGGGCTCGCGGAATCAAGCCATGGGGTTATAAATACCACAAGCAGCTGCTGTAGAACCTGCTTGTGGAACAAGCAATTGGTCTTAAATGAAAAGAATCATATGTTTGATCATGGGACCCAAGAAATGTGATCTAGTAGTAAGTGATCTTAAATGAAAGAAAACAGCTGTTCAAAAATACCACGAGTAGATGCTTCACAGAATGCTGGTAGAAGTATCATGGGACCCATGAAACGTGATCTAAACCAACAGGCTTGCGAGAACAAGCCCAAACCAATCACGTGCTTGAGAAAACAAGAATCAAAAGATACCAATGATGTGAATGAATCACTGTTTTGACAAAATGTGTTGAGGTGAGAGATGAAAGGGGGTGTATCCACCCACCCCCTCCCCCCAGGAACAACATTTGTCACTAAAAATACTACTTATGGGAATGTTACTAATGGTACAGAAAGTGTGTATTGGATGAAAAAATATGGCGCAGCTTGGCATGCTTCCCGTTAGCCAGATATTTGTTTAAAAAAAAATGATAATTTTTGAGAGTAGGCAGGTTTATCAGGAGAATAGTAGTCATTCAAGGTCGTTTGCCCCATAACAATACATGTAGCAATTATTTGAGAATAGTAGTGGGAGTATTTGTGCTTCCTTTTGCAAATTGAAAATGAATTGTAGTAAAAGTATAAAATGCTTGATTCACAATGAGGAACAACAAAGGTTACCACTCAATGACAAATGTAAGTAGGTGGGACACCTAATGGCTGGAATTTGTAGTGGAAAAAATATTAACTCTAAAAAAATAAGCTTGTGCATCATAAAGGTTGGTTCAGATTTAAATTGTGTGCTGAAAAAAATAATAAACCAAAAGGCTACTACAAGGCTCGTGTAACGCAAGCTCAATGTGTACTTTGACTATAAAAATTGGGTTGCAATGGATTGTGGAGCAGGGTTGCAATAGGGGGTTTGCTACAAGTTGCAATTACTTTTTGCAACCCATGTAGTAATGGGGCAGCACATTTTGACCCATTGCAGCAGTTGCATGATTGTCATTCACCAGTTTTACAGACTTGGTATTGCCAGTTTTGGTTTGAAGAAAATTGAGTTTGGTTGCCTTAGTAGAGTAGTAGGTTTACTGTATATCTCAAGGTCATGAAATTGGTTGAGTTGTTTCCTTTGGACATTGAGCCATTCATCCGACATGTTAAGTGAATCAATGCCTCTTCTTCTATTTTTGTTTGAAATATGAGGACATTGGTATCATTTTGTTGGAGACAATGTGCTGAGGGATTTTCAGGCCTGTACGTAGTATGACTGTGATGGCAAAGGTTTGTAGAATTTTGATGACAGATCGTTTGTTGAATAATTGATTACCATTGATGGATATGATAGATGCACTGTGTAGTACTTTGTTTTGTGTAGAGTAGGAAAACATTGAAGCAGTGCTTGATTTGCTTTTGATGTCTTGTAGAAAAGCATATCCATTTTTTTCATCTTCTTCAAATTGAAGATCAAATTTGGCATGGATTTTTTGTTAGGGTATGCTGGAATGGGAAGACATAAAAGCACAGGTCATTGGCAGAGATGGCTTTGAAGTTAAGTTAGTTTTCTTTCTTACCACCAGTAGCAAGCTGAATGGTAGGCCAAGTTTGTGTTTGTTGTTGTGGTAACACATTGAGGATGCAGAGTGTATGAGGGAATGGGTAAGGCCAAAAGTTTGCCCTGGATAAAAGGCATCATATACAATCAGCAATTGT